GTAATATATAAATAGGTTGAAGTAGATTTTGTGTAATTAAATTCTTTATCTCAATAGAAGCACTCATAACAATGGCGGATTTCCCCGCCACAGTAAGGAGTTGACGACCTCCGAAACATCCAATTTTGAAACAAAGGTTGGTCATTCAATTGGTTCTCATGGAATTGAATCATCTTCCTTCCAACTCACTGTGGAAAAGTTGAATGGAAGAAACTACCATGAATGGGCCCAATGCATAAAACTAGTAATTGACGAAAAAGGGAAGTTAGGCTATCGTACTGGCGAAACCAAGAGGCCAACGAATGCTGCCTTATTATAGAAGTGGAAGTCTGAAAATTCAATGGTGACTGCCTGGTTAGTGAATTCCATGATGCCGGCGATTGGGAAAACATACATATTCCTCCTGACTGCAAAGGAAGTCTGGGATTCAGTGAAAGAAAACTACTCTGATTTTGAAGATTCATCCCATATATTCAAAATTAAGGCTCGATTGTGGCAAACTCCACAAGGACCCATAGACGTAACTGATTATTACATGGAAATGGTGAATCTTTGGCAAGAACTCGATCTGAGTGTAGAAGAAGAATGGAAGTGCACGAAAGATTGTTCTCTGTACAAAAAGCAGGAGAATGAACGGGTATATGAGTTTCTAGCGGGGTTGAACCGTGAATTAGACGATGTTAGAGGTCGGATTTTGGGTCGACGACCACTTCCGCCTACTCGATAGGTGTTCGCGGAAGTTCGTCGGGAGAAAGTGCGGCAACGGGTAATGATGAAGGAGACGATCGAGCTTTTGGAGGTGGAATCAGAGCTTCTAGAGGTGGAGAGATGTCGGCCCGTAATGCTACAATTGGTGGACTGGACTTTAAAAGGCTTATTGGGCCTAAATCGTGTGGGCCAAGTCCGGGTAACATAAAAACAACAGTGGGCCTGGAAAAATCAACCATGGGCCTGGAACCTATTTTGCAAAAATCAAATGGTGATGGTGGATTGGGTTTTTCTTTAAAAGGGCCTAAAAATGGGCTAACTCAAAAACAATGAGGACGACCATAGTGCAAACATTGATGTAGGTCAGGACACAAAGAAGACACATGTTGGGAACCTCATGGAAAACCCATCGATTGGAAACCAAGGAAAAATACTCGGAGTCGAGTATACCAGACTGAGACAGAAAATTCCGGTTCGAGTGGTGCATTCAATTCCGAACAAATGGAGCAACTCTATCAAATATTCTCTAGCCTTTACACATCTGGTCAGTCTTCTACCAAAAGTCCTTCTAGTTCCTTAGCTCATAAAGGTAATTTCCTACAAGTCTTAAGCACGTCAAAATTTAAAACCTCTTAGATTGTTGACTCGGGTGCAACCGATCACATGACGGATTCATATCA